GTATGTCAGACAAAGCTTCAGAATCCTTGCCTCCAAGGAGCAGCCTGGCTTCACCCTCTCCAGGATGAACCTGTTTGTTCTCTTAGCAGTCCATGGTCTATTCAATACTCTTTTCCAGTACCACAGCTCAAAGACATCGATCCTCCTTCTATCATCCCTAGTCATTGTCCAACTTTCTGACACATAGCAAGTAATTATGAAGACCATGGCCAGGATCAGGCTCACCTTAGTCTCCAGACTGACATCCATCAATCCTCTTCAGTACCCTGGAGAGGTCCCTGACAGCAGACTTTTCCAATGCAATTCGTCTTTTCATTTCCTGGCTGCTAGTACCAAGAGTGTAGATTGTGGAGCCAAGCAAAGTGAAGCTGTGAACAATCTCAATCTCTTCAGCGTTTGCCATGATGCTGCCAATCGGCCCAGTGGTGAGAATCTTTGCTCTCTTGATGTTGTGCTTCCTATAGGGCTCTGATGGCACAGCGGTCAAGCGCTCAGCAAACGGCTGAAGATTTGAATGCACCAGCCGCTATGCCGGAGGAAGCCGTGGCAGCCTGAATCGGTAGAGATCCAGCGTTAAGAACCCAATGGGGAAGTTCTGCTCTGTCTTCTGAGGTAGCCAAGAGTGAGAACTGACTCAATGACAACGTTTCCCTTTATCCTACACAAAGATGACAAGAAGGTACTCAAGGGGCCCTGGCGGAGAGAACCTCTGACTGGACGGTCAGCTATGCGTTGGTTCTCATTGGACGTTTGAAATCTGAGATAGGTGGTATGATGGATTATGTGGTGGGCTGTTAACTAATAGGTTGGAAATCCACCAATCACTCTGAGGGGGAAAGATGAGACGTCTGCTCCTGATGACATTTCCAGGCTTGGAAATCTGATGGAAAACCATCGCGAAGTATATCTGACTTGATGGTAGTGAATTTTCCTGCGGTGAAGGTATTTAGAGAATGAAAAACATTGGTTTGAATCCTAGCTTTGCCATTAACCGAGAGCTGGTCCTTTTGCTGCTCTAAGCCTCAGTTTCCCCATCTGCCTAAAGGGAGTAATGGCAACACCCACCTCCCAGGGATGAGATGGAAGTTGTGCGTGAGCTTCAAGTGAGGCAACGCATACACTCCCAAACAGGGCAAAACCCAAACCACTAACTTGCTGTCATCGAGCAGGTTCTGACTCCTGGCTGACCCTCCACTGGGTTTTCCAAGGCTGTAAATCCCAACAGGAAGAGATTGCCCATCTTTCTCCAGAGGAGACAGAAAGGATTTGACGAGCAGTGCAACTCCTTAGGGACAGGTCCCCAGAACGTAAACCAAGCCCACCCCTTGAGTTGATTTTAGCTCACGGGCTGCCAGCCTTCCTGTTCTACCCAGCACAGAGGGCTTTCATGGACACAGGACTTTCAGTGCCCAGGAAGGAGGCCAGACAAGCCAGGATGGTCACCATGCGCTCTAATCAAGGATCTGCAAATTCACAGTCAAATGCAGCCCACCACTAGCTTGTCAATAAAGTTTTATTGGCACATGGCCACGCCCATTCAGTTAAAGCTATCACTGCTTTGACACTATGGCAGAGCTTAGTAGCTACACAGAGACCCTGTGGCCCCTAAAACCAAAAAGCCAAACCTCTTGCTGTCAGAGTCCCTCCTGGCTTATAGTGATACAAGGTTTTACAAGGTAAATTGCTTCAAAGGGTCTCAGGGTCAGTCCTCCCTTCCTCCCATAGCCTTGGCCCTTTCTGAGTCCCCAAGATGTTCTTTTCATCTAAGAGGCAAGTTCGCAGGCAATAGAGTCAACCAGGCCATGGCAATCAATTGAGGAAGTTCACCTCTAGGTCTTGCTTATGGGGCTGCCGATGTCCCCTCCCCACCGTCTCCAGGCCCAACTGTGTCTAAGAAGGCCAGACTTAGAGAAGACGAGGCACTGGGTGGGCATATGGCAGGACGGCTCCTGCTCTGGGATCCACATTGCTAAGGGAGGAAGCTGTGCAATGTGAGGTCGTCCCCGTTGCGCTCCTCCCCAGGCTCCGGCTTGCTGCCCTGGCCCTGGCCCTTGGTGACGTTGGGCGGACCCCCGTTGGCCGCAGCGTTAGGGCCCTCACCTCCCTCAGGCAGCAAGGATGAGATGCAGACCATCTCGGAGGGGGAGTAGCTGCGGACGGGATATGTGTGGTTCTTGCGTGACAAGCGAATGGCCAGTACCACGGTGCACACGAGGAAGATTGTGGCTACCAGGGCCAGGATGAGGATGGCCAGCAGGCACTGCTTCACAGGGATGCTGTTGGGGAGTCCCGTGGGGTTGGGGGCCACAGAGCTTCTGGGGGTCACACCCTGCCCGTACTTCCAGTGCTTGATGGCATCAATAGACCTATTTACTGTCCCAAAGATATCACTGTGGGGACCAGAGGACATGGGGAGGGACACAGTTGGGAGGCTTGTGGTAGCAGAGTCTATGGTCCCAGCCACTGTGGCTGGAAGGTCCACAGAGACTATGGTGGTTGGCGCAAAGGAGGAGGATTCTGTGGGTGGGACCTCGGTTGTGGGCTGGTCTGAGGGCGTGGCCTCAGTGGTGCGTGGTTTGGTGGGCGGGACTTTGGCGGTGGGTTGTTTGGTAGGCGGGGCCCCAGAGGACAGTGGTTCCGTGGGCGGGGCATCAGGGGTAGGTTGTTCAGTGGGCGGGGCCTCGGTGGTGGGTGGTTCTGTGGGAGAAGCCTCTGTGGAGGGTGGTTCAGTGGGTGGGGGCTCTGTGGTAGGTGGTTCTGTGGGCGGGGCCTCAGTAGTGGCCACTTCTGTGGTCAGGACGTCTATTGTGGAGAACTCTACAGTGGAAGGGATTATAGTGACCAGTTCTGTGTTAAAAGAGTCCTGTGTTTCAAGACTCCCCTGTGTGACCAGGTCAGTGCTCAGGTCCCCCGCAGCTGTCCCTCCTGTGCCCTGGCCAGCAGAGTCATTCGTCCCAAGCCCCACACTGTCTGGCTCTGGGGTTCCAGGCCCCACAGGGCTTCTCGGCTCCTTTGTCCTCATTAGGGCTGGAGCCTCAGAGCTGTTTTCGAGCATTTCCGGAGGTTCTGTGTTATACAATTCATAGTCTTCGTCAGGGAAGTAGTCTGGATTCTCCTGGATCTGTCTCCGCTCCCGGGCCAGTAGCAGGTCTGTGGCTTTCCAGGCTCTGGCCTTCCAGCTGCCAGGGCCCAGGAGGGTCAGCAGCAGGAAGATTTGCAATGGCATGGCACCTGGGGGGACAGAGACAAAGGGCATCAGACCAGCTTTCACCCCTGGGCCTACCTAGCACCCTCGACCACCATGATGGATGCCTGAGAAGCTGTCTGTGACAGGCATGTACTCACCTTGTAACTTCCTCTCCATCCAGCAGCCAGGACCCAACACACACCTAGTGCCCTGTAGACTTCCTGCAAAGCAATCATTATTACTATTGACTGCTGCTCTTGTTGTTGTTATGGGCCATCAAGTCGTCTGCGACTCTTAGTGACCCTATGTACAGCAGCTGCCTTGTTCTGAGCCAGTCTCACTGACTCTGACACACCTAGTCCCATTACCCCAATTACTGTCTCAATCCACCTCATCTGGGGTCTTCCTCTCCTGCACTGGCCCTCCACCCTTCTGAGCATGATGTCTTTCTCCAAGGATCGGTCGCTCCTGGCCACGTACCCAAAGAATGTGAGACGGAGCTTCAAAATCCTGGCCTCCAAGGAGAAACTTGGCTTCACCCTCTCCAAGACAGGCATATTTGTTTTCTTGGCGGTCCAGCACCACAACTCAAAGACATCAATTCTTCTTCTATACTCCTTAATAATTGTCCAGGTGGCATAGTTTATTATATCAGTCACGCAGCTAACTTAAAGGTCAGAGCTTCAAAACCACCAGCTGTCTCTGAGGAGACAGATAGGAGTCTCTACCCAGCAAGATTCAAACCTCAGGATTGATTAGTTATTGTGATTAATTAATTACACTAATTATTGGTTGTTAGGATCAATCCTGGAAGGACATCATGCTCGGAAGGGTTGGAGGGACAGCGCAGGAGAGGAAGATGCCACATGGGATGGATTGATGCAGTAACTGGGGCAATGGGGTAGGTGTGTCAGAGTCAGTGAGGCTGGCTCAGGACAAGGCAGGCTTCAGAGCTGCTGTAGGTTGCTACGAGTTACAGGCAACTCGACAGCACATAACAACAATCAATGAGAGGGAGCTCTGGTGGCCTATTGGCAAGAAGTTGCACTGGCAACTCAAACATACATGGTTCAAATCCACCAACTGCTCCTCAGAAGAAGGATGGACAATCTCCTCCTGTGTGATTAACTGCCTCTGAAAACCCTCTGGAGGGTCAGCCGTGAGTCAGTCCCAACTCAATGGCACATAGCAATCAATCAATGGTAATTATTGTTAGGTGTTGTTCAGTTGATGACAACGTATAACAACCCTAAGAACCACAGATCTGAATCTTGCCCTCTCCTGAGCAGCCCCCACCACCTCGCCACGCTCAGGTACATTGTGGTGGCCACTGTGTCTGCGCATCTTGTTGAGAGTCTACCTTTCTTTCCATGTTGCTGATGTTGATTGCCTTCAAGTCGAGTTCATAGTGACTCTATGAACATAAGGCCTGAAGCCACTCTACAACTATCAACATTTATCAAAGAGTTTCCGGAGGCATGTTGTTTAGGAAGTGGATGTTACTCCTGCTTCCAAACCTGTCATGTCTTTCCAGGTAGTGATATAAAATTAAATGTGCCTGAGACAATACATACAATATCATAAAACAAAATAGATACGAATGAGAATGCATATAAATGAAAACCCCACATGATCTCACTCAAAAAAGAAAGATGTAAAATGGGGGGGGGGATTTACAGCCTCAGAAACCCGCTGGACAGCTCTAAATCCGAATTGATTCGACAGTGGTGGGTATGGTATAATAGCAATGAAACCATCCAAGGCTGGAGTCTTATGGGAGCTGTGGTGCCCTAGTGATAAGAAGCTGTTCTGTTAATCTGAAGGCGTGTGGTTCAAATCTACCAGCTCTTACATGGGAGAAAGATGGGCAATCTACTCTCATGCGACTTCTTATTGTCGTTATGTGCCTTTCAGTCCCTTGAAATTTACAGTAACCCTCCATACAACAGCTCTGAACCTTGCTCTCTCCTGAGCCAACCTCACTGTCTCCGACACACCCACCCTCATTACCCCAGTCACTGAATCAAGCCATCTCATCTAGGGTCTTCCTCTCTTGTGCTGTTCTTCCACCCTCCTGAGCATGATGTCCCTCTCCAAGGACTGGTTCCATCTTGCAACATGTCTAAAGTGTGTCAGATGAAGCTTCAGAACCCTTACCTCCAAGGAGCAGCCTGGCTGCACCCTCTCCGGGACAAACTTGTTTGTTCACCTAGCAGTCCAGTCCCCAGCACCACAGCTCAAAGGCATCAGTTCTTCTATCATCGTGAAAACTCAATGGAGGGTCAGCTATGAGTTGGTTCCAACATGACAGTACACAAATAACAACAACAAAGGCTGAGGTTAGGGACCTAGGGTGAACAGGTGTACAATTGGAACAGGGAAGGCTATGACAGCAGCTACCGCCCAAAAGGTCCGTACCAGGCCAATATTTACTGGGCACCAGGCAAGGGCCCAGAGAGCTCTGGTGGCCTAGTCTGTTGGAGATTGCACTACCAACCCAAAGACTACACCTCTCCGGTGGTTGGGACCCACCAGCGACTCTGAAGGAGAAAGATGGATGCTATTTACAGCCTCGGAAACTGGCGAGGCTGAGCTATAAGTTGGCTCCAACTTGAAGATGATGAGTTGTTTTAGTTTGCGCCTGGGCCCCAGAGTGAGGACATCAGCGCTGACATCACACAAAAGCATTATTGAGTCCCAGCTCTGTCCTTCACAAGTTGTCTGCCTGTGAGCGGGAGCTTGTCACAATGAGCCCCAGTTTTCTCAACTGAAAAGTGGGCTAACAAACAGCACTAAAGCAGAGGACCAGTGAAGATGATCAAGATCATTAATGAAACAGATTTAACACAACGTTGGATTCAAAGCGACCAATGAGCTGGACCAGGTATATTTCATTCCATTACACATCAGGTTCCAAGAGTTGAAGGCAACCAGTCCTTGGAGAGGGACATCATGCTTGGAAGGATGGAGGGACAGCGCAGGAGGGGAAGACCCCGGATGAGATGGATTGACTCAGTGACTGAGGTAATAGGGGTGGGTGTGTCAGAGATAATGAGGTTGGCTCAGGATAGGGCAGGGTTCAGAGCTGTTGTACACAGCATAGCTATGACTCGGCGGCACATAACAACAATATTATGCCCTGCCTCACCAGGCTGTAGAGCAAATACAGTGATGTGGTTTCAAAGGTTCCAGGCTCGCAAAATAAAGGCAAAAACAAACCCGTTGCCATGGAGTTGGTGCTGACTATGGCAAGCTCTTGAGTTACAGAGAGCAGCTCCATGGGGTTTCTTGGCTGTCATCAAAGCGGAAGATGATTGAGGGGATGGCTCATGGATTCAGGTCACTAACCTTAGACTGACAGTTGAGCACAGATTGCTTCTTTTGTCCCCTGTCTGCAGCCCAAAGAGCCCCCCCCCAAATAAAGTACCCCTCACTGGATATGGCTTAATCCCCTCACAACATCTCATGTTGTTACCTTTATAACCATTCTTTGAAGCTGTATGAACCCATTTTACAGATGAGGGCCCTGAGGCCTAGAGAGCGTGAAACAATGTGCTCAAGGCCACACAGCTGTTCAATGGGGCTGAGCATGGGTGTCGCGGCTGTGGTGTCTCCTTGCTCGGGTGCAGGGGGTGTGAAGATGAGTGCAGGGAGGATGTGCATGGTTACAGGCAAGGGTGAGGCCGGCCACAGAGACCAAGCCCTAGCTTTCGTCTTATCCTCCATGATTCAAGCCGCCGGAGGCACCACCTTGTAAGAAGCCACCAGAAACCAGCAGACAGGTCAGATCTGGCTCCCTTCCTTCTGTCCCCGCCTCCAGGAAGTGGCTGGGAGCTCAGCCTTCCAGGAACCAAGAGGTGCCCAAGGGGGTGGTAGGTGCGAGTCTTGTCAGAGTTAGGAAATGACAGCTCTGAGCTGGGGACTCCCGCCAAAGGCTTTTGCCCCCGGGGAAATGAGGCAAAGTTAGATCAGCCAGTGTTCCTCCCAGACAGGAAATCACCTTGGTTGCCAAGAACCTCAGTTGTCCTAAAGGCAGGTGGAATGGCAAAAGTATGTGTGCATCTGTCTGTGTGTGTGTGCATGCGTGTGTGCATGTACATAGTGTGTCTGTGCAGTGTGCAAGCGTGTGCATGGACGTGTGGATGTGCACATGTATGTGAGCACATGTATGTGCGTGTCCAGTGTATGGGCAGCATGTGGGTGCTGTGTGTGTACTGTGTGCAGGTGCGTGCATGTGTGTGTGACAGGTACATGTAGTATATGAGGTGCCTGTGTGTGCATTGGGGGAAGTGTGAATGTGCATGCATGCGCGTTAGTGTGTGCGTGTACGTGCCATGTGGGGCTCGTGTGTGAGCTCGTGTGTGTGGTTATGCATATGTGTACATCTGTGTGTGCATATGCGGTGTTTCTGTGCATGCAGTGTGTTTAAGTGGCCCGTGGGACTCGTGTGCGCACCCTCATGCGGGTGGTGAATGTGAAAGGCATTTCTCCCACCTCACACTACCCAGATTCGAACTGCAAACTGTTAGGTGAGCAGTTGGGACAAACAATTTACCTCATACTGGAAACTTGGCAAACCGCCCCCTAAGCCCTCAAACTCACTGCCATGATGTCAGCACCAACTCATGAATCCTCCATTAGGTTTGTGAGACGATAAAACACACGAAAGATTGTCCATCTTTTGCTCAGAACACCTTTCAGAGTTGATGGATTCAAGAGCCTTTGGTTTAACAATGCAGCTCCTTACAGACTTGGCCATCTGAGCTCCCCTCTGGGGTCTCCAAACCTTCCCACCTGGGCCTAGTTTGAGGGTGACCAACTCATCCTGGTTTGCCTGGGATGTGCCTGGTTTTACCACAAAATATCTCTTATCCCGGAGGATCCCTCAGTCCTAGGCAAACAGGGTGATTGGTCCCCTGGCCTAGTCTCCTGGCTTTGGGGGAACAGGCTCACACAGCCACCCAACAAGGCTGATCACGCTGGACTTCTGTCTCCTCGCGAGACAGGAAGTAAGGTCCTCACACTTCCGGGGGCTCCAAGAAGCTGCACAGGGAGGGAGAAGTTCCAGGTAATCTAGTAGCTCTTTTCTAGGTATTGAAATAACTTAACCATGACAACCAGGAAACCTTATCAACAACACACAGTCCTCCTCTAACACATGAACCAGAGGCCCCTGGTTGCCTAATAATGGGTTAAGGGGTTGGGCTATGAGTCAAAAGGTTAGTAGTTCGAAGCCCCCAGCAGCCCTATGTTGTTGTTAGGTGCCATGAAGTATGACTCATAGCGACCCTGTGAACAGCAGACCTGAACCCTGTCCTATCCTGCCTGGCCTCATCATCTCCGACACACTTGAGCCCAGTGCTGCGATCACTATGAAATCCATCCCCAGAGCCTCAGTTATGTATGGTTAAGCAGGAGGGGGCGGGAGATGCAGATCTACCGCAGGCCTAAGGAGGTCAGCTTGTGCTCCTGAGAGCTCAGCCCGTCCTGTGGCCAGCAGGACCCTGCCCTAACTCCAAGAGTCACATCCAACCAGGTTCAAATCCCACCTCCCTCCCAGGTAAACTGTGTGACCTTTGTCCACCCCGCTCGTCTCTCTGAGCCCCATTTCTCACCTGGAATACAAGGACACTAGGGCATTGTGGGCAAAGCCAGAGAAGCCCTTTAGTAACAGTGAACACCAGCCATTGTAACTATTCGAGCTATTGTTATGCCTTTAGGACAGAGTCCTAACTTTTCTGGAGAGGTCCTTGCGTGGTATACAATAGTTTGGACTGTCATCCTCAAGGTTGGTGGTTCTGACCCACCCAGAAGTACTACGTAAGAAAGACTTGGCAGAAGAGTCAGGATAAGAACAGCTTGGCCATTGCAACTAGCAAATAGGAACAAAATATATGTAACTATTCAAAAGGGGAAAAGAAAGGGAGACGGGGTGTGGAAAAGGGGAAAGGAAATCACTGAGACAGCAGAGCTTAGTGGGTAGATGGGGGTGTGAAGGAGTAGGCAAGGTGCATTGGGGACTTGAGATGGGACGATATGAGTAATTAATAATAGTATTAGTATTATATTA